CTGGACTTGTAAAGTGGGATGAGGAAGGGAACATTACATCGCCAGTTACTGGGCTCAATATTGTTGATGACGTTATAGGCAGGATGTGCACTCCGAAATTGTTATTCCCAGAAGATAAACTGCCAATTGCAAAGTTGTTCTACTCTTTGACATCTACACCTAAGAATTTATTTAGAAATGTAGATGCGAAAAATCAAGTGTTTTCTCCTCCAAGTTTGAAGAGGAAGATCAAGGCTGTAGATGAAGGAGAGTCTACCTGGATATCATATTAAGGTGAGTTTCTGTTTATTTTTATCATTTACTATTAGTCTACAGGATGGATAGTTACGTTATATATGCAGCGAGTAACTCTGATACTGATGTATTTAAAAACAATGCTCCCAATGCTTTTGAAAATAGATTACATAATCAGCTGCCTTTAGACCCGAATAAAGCTTATGAAGTGTGCCTGAAGAATATATTCCTGCCTCCATCTTATTTCGCTGTTAGGAGGAATGACCCGGAAAGTTTTATTTCAGTTCAACTTCTAGTGTCTAATAAAAGTTTATCTGATTTGAGTACGGTGAATACATCTTTCACTTTAAAGTCGGATATTTTAGCCAGTGATAATTGCATAGAGCTAACGACTATTTTAAATAGAGAAATTTCTACTATATTTTCAAAAGGTTCACTGAGTTTTATAGGACCCGTACTTAATTATAATTTCCCAGATCACGGGGACGTTTATATGAAATATGATTCGAGTATTAATCGAATTAAGTTTAATGCAGCATTTCGTGAGAAGTTGTTAAAATTATTTATTACAAAGGATGGAAAATTAGTTGTTAGAATTTCTTTATCTTTCGGTCGAAATATATGTAAAGTTATTGGAGCTGAAGTAGGTAAAGCCTATGATATTTTTATTATGAATAAGCCACCTAATAACAGGTTATTTGTACAAGATACTTGCTATTATCATCCTAGGCCAGGAGGCCGTATAGATTTCTTGTGTGTATATTGTGATAAGGTGCAGCCCACCATGTTTGGTAATCAGATTGTAAATATCTTGGATGTTGTTTCGTTTCAAAGTAATGTAACACACAGGAAATTATATAAACCTTTAAATACGACTAATATTGATGGCATCAGTATTAGATTAACAGATCAAGATGGGGAGCCTGTATATTTTGAAAAGGATGGATGTACGATTGCAGTATTACATATTAGACCCGTTGATATATAATGGCATGAGTAGATGGAGTTTATCATTCTCTCTTGGCCTGTTTAAACATGAGGGTCGGGTTTGTACCGCTGTCTGTTGACGAGGTAGGGCGATTTATCGCTCCTCGAGGGAAGAGAGGTGGAGCACTGGGCGATATTACTGTTTTTGATAGAAGACATTTAAGAGGAGGTGGAATATTAAGTTTCTTAACTGGTCTAGCTCGTAGAGCAACTCCTTTCCTATTAAAAACTATCATGCCAGCTGCATTGACAATGGGACAGAATGTTTTGCAGGATATAAATGCTGGTCAAGGTACTTTGAAAGATTCAATTAGAAAACGCGGTATGGAAACATTGAAAAGTATAGGTCCTAAATTGTTAGCAGGTGGCCGAATAACGAAAAGAAAAACGAAAAGACCTGCCTATATAAAGAAAATGGATAGATATAAAGACGTGTTTTCATAAAAACAGTACTAGTTGTATGCTAGACGCAGACATGATGAGTGTAAATGCTCCTAGTGCAGCATTGCAAGTTCCTTTAGAAAATTATACAGCTGCTATAAGCGATGGCTTTCCTAAAGTTAGTCCTCATAGAATGGTTGAAAGTACGATATTTTCAAGACAGACACAGGATATTTTACCTGTGAATTCAAGTATTAACAATAAATTTAAAGACTCTTATATTGAATTTCGTATCCCGGGAGTTAAGGGTCAATTTATTGATCTTTCGAGCTTGACGCTAGAACTGATGGTTGAATTAACGGGACCTGACGGAATTACGGCTCTAGCGGATATTAAAAATGCATCAATAGTTAATGGCTTGTCCCAGACAATGTTTAAAGCTGTAACTGTTTATTTAAATGAGCAAGTGGTGGAAACTAATTCACTATTTTCATATTTATCATATGTAAAGCTAATGACGACGCTTTCTGAATGTAAAGCTGAAAGATTTAAAGAACTGACGTATTTCTATAATGATGTTTTCCCTGAAAAATATGATGTAGATTATTTTAAGAATGCCTCAGAAGACCTTAAATCTAGATTTGTAAAGTTAAAAACTGAGGGAGTAAATTGTTGCTTTAAACTGCTATTGGACATTACAACTTTGAGCGAATATCTTTTGGATGGAATTGATATTCGTTTGAGATTAGAACTTAACAGTGATCCGTGGGTTATAAACAGTATTGAATCTGGATATAAGTTTAACATAAAACTAGCTAGAATGTGGATTGATCGGATAACTCCATTTGCATCTGGATTGGAGGCTATTAATAGAGCTCTGGCTGAACAAAATACGCCAGTTACATATACGTTTGATAAGACACTCCACAAGACGTTCATTCTTGGTAATGGGCAGCAGAGATTAAGTATTGACCAGCCATGGGGGAGCATTATCCCAGATAAATTATTTATTATGATGATGGATATGGAAGCAATATCAGGAGCGTATACACTTAATCCGCTTTATTTCGATCACTGCGATTTATCTAATGTATATATTACACGTGATGGGACAAACTTATTTAATATAACTTGCAAGTTCCCAAATAAATGTTCGAAACTATACTACGAGACTCAAAATACAGTAGGCTTTAATGCTTGTAATACCTTGACATATAATTCATTTATAAAAGGAAGAACATTACTGGCATTTAGACTAACGCCTGAGGAATTGAGAGATACCCTTCCTATAGAGGCTTCGGGCAACCTGAGAATTACATTAGAATTTGCTGTTCCAGCGAAATCAAATAAAGTTATTATTTTATTCGGAATTACAACGGGAGTATTGAGAATTTATTCCGATAGGCGAGTTGTGTGTGATACAAGAGCATGAACTGCAAACAAATTAATACGGCATTGAACGATATGAAAGGTAGTAAAGCTAAATATATTGGATGCTATTTAGCGACGGATATATATAGAATAATGAAGCAAATACGGGATAGACCGATTATGTTTATAATAAATACCTTAGGAAGAGACTCTAAGGAAGTAATGGGTCACTGGATTGCTGTATATAAATCTAAACGGAAAATAGTTATACTCGATTCATATGGAATAAATGTGTATTCGCCATACATTTCGGAGTTTTTAAATTATTATAAAGACTGTGATGTATACACGTTTACAGAGCGACTTCAGAGTTTAAATACTTACGTATGCGGGCTATATGCGATGTTTTTCTGTTACCATCTTTCAAACAAGGATCTAAAAACTGCAATAAAGCTATTTGAAACTAGTTTTACTTATGGAGAATATATGCAGAATGATAGGAACGTAATGAGGCTATCTTATGCTTTATTTAAAAATATGCCGAGCTGCTATGAAACGCTGTGTTATGATAAGAGCGATATTTGTTGGAAAATGTGCTTGGAGACGACTGGCTGAATGAGGCTATAACACATTATCTAACGGAAAATGGTGAGTACATTTGTTTCGAGGTTTTATGTGTCTGATAAATATTGTACATGTGTAAACGCTGTCTGAAACTGTTATTCTTTATTTACAGAGATGAAGAGTGAATAGGACGGATATTATACAAGCGGATTGAGGAGCGAGCTTCTTAGAACTTCGGGCTAAATGAATCGTTTATTATAAATTGTGTAAACTATGAATTAGATGACTAAATAAATTATAAATAAATAAATAAGTTTTATTAACGCTTAATGTATATATATATATAAATTATTACGGCGGCGAACGCCGACAATGACTGGTGGATGTCTGGGGCAGGTAATCAGGTGATGATGGCCTCGGGCAGATAGCCTGGGGAAGGTAGCTGGGGCCAGCTTAGATAGTCTCGGAGGCAGTTTTCAGTATTAAAGGTTACATTGAGATGCTTCGGTTGATTTGTATAAAACTGACTGGTTAATGAAAAAGGAATAAAATATTAGTATGTCAGAAAATAGGAAGAGGGAATAATATGAAGAGGAGAGAGAGAGAGGAGGGAGAGAGAGAGAGAGAGGAGGGACGGTCCTGATATTACGGATAAGATAAGATAAGATTAAGAGCTGACTGGCTGGCTGGCTGACGTCTAAAGTAAATAAAGGTGATGCGACAGATTGCGAGTCAAGGGGGGGAGGGAGGGGGGTGTGATGTACGAGACTTGAAAACAATGACTTATACAGGCGATTTTCTAAATTTATATGAATAACTAAGGCTTACATAGACGATTTTGTAAGTTGAAAACATGTAAAATATGTCCGTAGAGTTCTCCTGGAAGCCCTAAAGTGCTACACACGTTATTTGAATTTCTCCCATAAGGCTTTAACAAACTTCTAAGTCTCGGAAATTATTTTTCTCATAAGAAATCCATACTTCTAAAATCTGTGACTGCCCAAATTCGCCTGAAAACCCCTGGCTCACAAATACGAATTTCTAAATTTACCTGAAACCCTTGGGGCGCACAGGGGATATTCTAAATTTACCTGAAACCCTTGGGGCGCACAGGTACCTTTTTTCCCTTTGGACCTGAAACCCTTGGGGCGCACAGGTACCTTTTTTCCCTTTGGACCTGAAACCCTTGGGGCGCACAGGCACTTTTTTTCCCTTGGGGCGCACAGGGGATATTCTAAATTTACCTGAAACCCTTGGGGCGCACAGGTACCTTTTTTCTCCCAGAAAAAAAAGGTACCTGTGCGTCGCCAACCCTACTACTGAGCACCACCATGAGAGGAGCCATCTTGAGCACCACCATGGGAGCAGCCATCTTGAGCACCACCATGGTAGCAGCCATCTTGAGCACCACATGGGAGCAGACATCTTGAGCACCACCATGGGAGCAGCCATCTTGAGCACCACTATGGTAGCAGCCATCTTGAGCACCACATGGGAGCAGACATCTTGAGCACCACCATGGGAGCAGCCATCTTGAGCACCACCATGGGAGCAGCCATCTTGAGCACCACCATGGAAGCAGGCATCTTGAGCACCACCATGGGAGCAGGCATCTTGAGCACCACCATGGGAGCAGCCATCTTGAGCACCACCATGGGAGCAGCCATCTTGAGCACCACCATGGGAGCAGCCATCTTGAGCACCACCATGGGAACAACCATCTTGAGCACCACCATGGGAGCAGGCATCTTGAGCACCACCATGGGAGCAGCCATCTTGAGCACCACCATGGGAGCAGCCATCTTGAGCACCACCATGGGAGCAGCCATCTTGAGCACCACCATGGGAGCAGCCATCTTGAGCACCACCATGGGAGCAGCCATCTTGAGCACCACCATGGGAGCAGCCATCTTGAGCACCACCATGGGAGCAGCCATCTTGAGCACCACCATGGGAGCAGCCATCTTGAGCACCACCATGGGAGCAGCCATCTTGAGCACCACCATGGGAGAAGGAATAACAAAGAAAATATCCCAGTCGTCTGCGAGGTGTTTCACAGCAGACGAACGACCTTGTTATCCCACTAGAGTCTGCCAGCAGTCGAGTCTCTAAGGCTCGTCGAGGAAATTTATTGTGATTTTCCAATATTTTGTGTTGACATATTGTGATGCATGTGAGAAGCTGATTGTGCCCTCAACAAGTGCAAGCTGATGGGGAGAGTAGGTGAGCTGATTGTGTCAGTGTCAGTGTCAGTGTCAGTGACAGTTACAGTGTCAGAGTCAGTGTCAGTGTCAGTGTCAGTGTCAGTGTCAGTGTCAGTGTCAGTGTCACTGGGGGAACCAAGTGACAAATGACTTGATACGTAATTTGTCACAGGATGAATACTTCTATCAGAACACAACAGACGTGTATCTTGTGGTTATCTTGAGGTTATCTTGTGGTTATCTTGAGGTTATCTTGAGGTTATCTTGAGGTTATCTTGAGATGAGTTCGGGGGCTTAGCGTGCGGTCCACGACCAGGCCTCCTTTTTGTTACACATCCCCATGAAGCAGCCCATAGCAGCTGTCTAACTCCAAGGTACCTAATTATTGCTAGATGAACAGATGCATCAGGGTAAAAGAAACTCTGCCCATTTGTTTCCGCCTCCGCCGGAGATCGAACCAGGAACCTTAAGACTACCAATCCCGAGCGCTGTCCACTCAGCCATCAGGCTCTCCAGGCATGCTAAGCTTGACTATCAAGACAGCCTTGAGAAAGGCAGACAAGAGCTCCTTAGAAATACATTATAGCATGTGTGCCTGACCAATACCTGAGTGTGTGCAGAACCGGCACGGAACCTCTGGTTGGATGCTTTTCCTATCACCTGATGCATCTGTTCACCTAGCAGTAAATATAGGTATTCAGGAGTTAGTCTGCTTGTTGTGGGTTGCATCCTGGTTGGGTCAGTAATTCATCCCTTAGGGTGGACCCGGATATATGCCTAACATGCATTATATATTTTATATATATATATATATATATATATATATATATATATATATATATATATATATATATATATATATATATATATATGTCGTACCTAGTAGCCAGAACGCACTTCTCAGCCTACTATGCAAGGCCCTATTTGCCTAATAAGCCAAGTTTTCCTGAATTAATATATTTTCTCTAATTTTTTTCTTATGAAATGATAAAGCTACCCATTTCATTATGTATGAGGTCAATTTTTGTTCATTGGAGTTAAAATTAACGTAGATATATGACCGAACCTAACCAACCCTACCTAACCTAACCTAACCTATCTTTATAGGTTAGGTTAGGTTAGGTATCCGAAAAAGTTAGGTTAGGTTAGGTTAGGTAGGTTAGGTAGTTGAAAAAACATAAATTCATGAAAACTTGGGTTATTAGGCAAATCGGGCCTTGCATAGTAGGCCGAGAAGTGCGTTCTGGCTACTAGGTACGACATATATATATATATATATATATATATATATATATATATATATATATATATATATATATATATATATATATATATATATATATATATATATACATATATATATATATATATATATACACACACAGGTTGCCTGTCCCGCAATAGAATAATAGTAAAAATAATAATTCATTATTATTATTTAAAAAATCTAGTTCAATTAAAAGAATTATATGAGACGGTGACCGACTGAATGAACAGATGTTCACTCACCTATAAGAAGAAAGAGAAGAGAACTAACGGTGACATGATCCAGACATTTAAAATACTTATAATTATTGACAAATGTGAAAAAAAGGTGTTTAGAATGAATAACAGGAGCATGAAGGGCAAGCATCAGCCCTTGGGACACACACAGACGTAGGTTCGAATCCTCATCACGGCCCTTGTGGATTTGTACATAGACGAACTCCATGGAGGCGAGGCATGAACAAAAGTGGTATGAACAAAAACAGGCAAATAAACAAGGATAAATATGAACTCTGAACACAATATGTCCAGTATAAACCTGTTCAACACGTCACCTTTCCCTGTTATAGTGGCATAACCTTGTCACTAACGTCGATATTTCTCCTTGACATTGTCTAAGGCTGTAACCTAAGATTTTACACCTTCTTGCCCCCATTAGATCGCCTTACAACCGCAAGCAACACTTGACCCCAAGTAGTTCATCTGTTGACCTCTGACTCCGTATGTTTGGCCGTAGGACCTGTAGCACCTGTTGGACCTGCAAGACCAGTTGGACCTGTAACATCTGTTGGACCTGCAAGACCAGTTGGACCTGTAGCACCTGTTGGACCTGCAAGACCAGTTGGACCTGTAGCACCTGTTGGACTTGTATGATTTGTAAGATGCGGACTTGACAGACGTGTGACCTCAATAACTGACCCACAAGCTGCTTGGCCTTAGTGATGGACGGCTGATGGACGGAGTCATGTTACCAGGAGAGGAAGCAGGCCTGCTGTACACCCTGTCCTGCCCCCTGCTGTTGCTGCTGCAGCTGCTGCTGTTGACTGTTGGTGTTGTTGACTGTTGGTGTTGACTGCTGGTGTTGTTGACTGCTGTTGTTGACTGCTGTTGTTGACTGCTGTTGTTGACTGCTGTTGTTGACTGCTGTTGTTGACTGCTGCTGTATGCTGCTGTTGTTGACTGTTGCTCCTGTTGTTGCCTGCTGGTCCTGCTGTTGGTGTGTGTTGACCTGGGAGTAATGACAAGAAAGTTAGGTCTAGCTCTTCACTCCCCGTCAACTTGCCTCGTTGTAACTTTTGCGTTATAACTGAACTTTTCGCACGTTGGAATTCCCGGTTGAACCTGACCACGTTGTGTGGATGAAACTCGCTTTCACAACTTCGTTTTTTTTCCTAGTGCATTTCGTTTAGCTCCGTGACAGAGACACTTGTTTCGCGCAAGTGAACCTCGACCCGACCATGTTCGTCATGTACCCTACAAGAAGCACGGTGCAAAGTTTGTTTAGACTAGCCTCAAATGACTGGCATCCAACCTCCACCAGACAGACATTCTTATTTATGAATATAATGATAAAAACATCAAGAGTGAGTTAATGCATTAATATAAGGAACTTTTTAGAAGGAATATTCCTGCATGAACCCTAAGCCTCTGGTAGGAATATCTCTGAAAAAAGTCCCACAAATAATGCAATGCCGTTCTGAAGCGGGACTAGAAGCCTAGATCGTATATTCAAGAACGTGTGAGTACCTCAAGGATCGGTGCCGGGACCAGTTCTATTTCTATTATACGTTAATGACATGTTTACTGGAGTTGAGTCCTAGAAGTCGATGTTCGCGGATGACGCAAAATTAATGAGACGAGTTGTGACAGATGAGGATTGTAGGATCCTCCTTGGAGCGTCCTTGTAGGATAAGGATCTTCCAAGAGGACTTAAACAACTTGCAGAGATGGTCAGAGAAATGGCTACTCTAGTTCAACAGGAGCAAATGTACAGTGATGGAAATAGGAAAAGGTGAGAGGAGACCAAAGGGACAGTACACAGTGAAGGGAAAATATCTACCTGTAACGACTCGAGGAGACCTGTAAGTTGACATATCACCTCACCTAATTACGGAGGCTCATGTAAATAGCATAACGTCCACAGCGTACTCTACGCTAGCAAAAGCTAGAATATCATTCAGAAACCTAAATGAGGAGGCTTTTAGGGCGCTTTACACTGCCTACGTGAGACCAACCTTAGAGTATGCCGCGCCATCATGGAGTCCCCCACCTGAAGAAACACATATGGAAACTGAAAAAGGTTCAGAAGTTTGCGACGAGGCTCGTCCCAGAGTTACGAGGGATGGGGTATGAAGAGCGTCTGAAGGAACTGAACCTGACGACGCTTGAAAAAGGTGAGACTGATAGAGACGTACAAAGTACTTAGAGGGATTGACAGAGTGGAAAAAAACATGAAATATTTGCACTAAACACCAATAAAAAAGGAGACATGGGTGGAAGCTTGAAACACAGATGAGTCACAGAGCTGCTAGAAAGTTGTCATTCAGCGTGAGAGTTGTGGGGGAATGAAACGAAATGAGCAGATTGTGGAAGCAAACACTGTTAATCATTTTAACAGTAGATTTGTTAGGGAAATAGAACAGGCGTCATGGCTTTAAACAACTGACGGCTAGAAAGGCGGGGTTCAAGAGCTAATGCTTGATCCACAGGCACAACTAGGTGAGTACACACACACACACACACACACACACACACTTGTCACCAGAGGGACAAGTGTTGAGAGGCGGGATCAAAGAGCCAAAGCTCAGCTCCCGCAAGCACAACTAGGTGATTACACATACACACAATTTGTATTAATCATTAATAGTGTCTACTAGGTTAAGCAATTATAAAAAGCGTAAGCAACACTTTGAAAGGTAATTATGAGAAGAAATAATAATACTGATAACAGTTAATAATCCTTTATGCATAATAATTCGCATACACAAAAACATGACATAGGTATAATTATAGATAATCCTCATCAGTTGGTAGCGACCGCCATACTCTCCTCTCTGCTGCACGTTAGATTAATATCATTTTTGAACTCAGTCAACATGAGCTTGACGCGCTGGACCGCAGTCAGGTCGGGACACTGGCCCATGTGAGTAATGAAGTCCTTCATGATGTCCTACACGCGGTGTAGATTGGTGCGTGAGACAGTGTCCAGGAAGGTAAGGGCGTGGTAGGCGCAGCATCCACACCTCCCCTGCATCTTCCTCTCAATCACAATCACATGGGAGCGCGGGATGCCGTGCTATCTGATGTAATTACCGAAACTACGGTGGAGTTTGGGGGTGACGGAGTCGTAGTAGAGATATAGGCCGTCGTGACACCTGTAGACGGCCACAGCGTGCTTAAGGGTAGTTATCAATATAACAAGCCCTTCGCCCCGTCTTAGAGGGCCCATCAAGGGCAGCTGGTCGCTGTAAACACAATAGCATCGATTGCGCATGGCTCTTGGCGTGTTTTTCAGGATTTCT